CTTGTCTTGTTCCTGATTTTAGTGGGATGGCTTTGAGTTTTTCTCCATTTAATTTAATGTTAGCTGTCGGTTTGCTGTAGATAGCTTTTATTATATTTAGGTATGACCCTTGTATCCCTATTCTCTCCAAGACCTTTATCATAAAGGGGTGTTGAATTTTGTCGAATGCTTTTTCCGCATCTAATGAAATGATCATATGGTTTTTTTCTTTCAGTCTATTTATATGGTGGATTACATTGATAGATTTGCGTATGTTGAACCAGCCCTGCATCTCTGGGATGAAGCCTACTTGATCATAATGGATAATTTTTCTGATGTGTTCTTGAATTCGGTTTGCCAGTATTTTATTGAGAATTTTTGCGTCGATATTCATGAGTGAGATAGGCCTGTAATTCTCTTTCTTGGTTGGGTCTTTGTGTGGTTTTGGTATCAGGGTAACTGTAGCTTCATAAAAGGAATTTGGCAATGACTTTTCTGTTTCTATATTGTGAAATACGTTAAGGAGTATAGGTATTAGCTCTTCTTGGAAGTTCTGGTAGAATTCTGCGTTGAACCCATCTGGTCCTGGGCTTTTTTTGGAAGGGAGATTTTTGATAACAGTTTCTAGTTCTTCGCGACTAACAGGTCTATTTAGATCATTCACCTGGTCTTGGTTTAGCTTTGGTATATGGTACTTATCTAAAAAAATGTCCATTTCTTTTGCATTTTCCAGTTTTGTGGCATACAGGCTTTTATAGTAAGATCTAATGATTCTCTGGATTTCCTCTGTGTCTGTGGTTATGTCCCCCCTTTCATTTCTGATTTTATTTATTTGCGTGTTCTCTCTCTGTTGTTTAGTTAGTTTGGATAGGGGTTTGTCGATCTTGTTGATTTTCTCCAAGAACCAACTTTTTGTTTCATTGATTCTTTGGACTGTTTTCTGTGTTTCTATTTTGTTGATTTCTGCCCTCAGTTTGATTATTTCCAGTCTTCTACTCCTTCTGGGCACCTCTGCTTCTTTTTTTTCTAAAGCTTTCAGGTGTGCCATTAAGTCCCCAATGTATGCTTTCTCTGTTTTCTTTAAGTGGGCACTTAGTGCTATGAACTTTCCTCTTAGCACTGCTTTCATCGTGTCCCATAGGTTTGAGTATGTTGTCTCTTTATTTTCATTAAATTCAAGGAAGACTTTAATTTCTTTCTTAATTTCTTCCTTGACCCAGGTGTGGTTCAGTAGTTGACTGTTCAGTTTCCATGAGTTTGTCGGCTTTCTGGGGGTAGCATTGTTGTTGCCTTCTAACTTTAATCCGTGGTGATCTGATAAGACGCAGGTGGACACTGATTTTTTTTTTTGTATCTGTGGAGGTTTCCTTTGTTTCTGAGTATGTGGCCAATTTTCCAAAAGGTTCCATGAGCTTCAGAGAAGAAGGTATATTCTTTCCTGTTTGGGTGGAGTGTTCTATAGATGTCTGTTAAGTCTATTTTCTTCATTACCTCCAAAAATTCGCTTAATTCTCTATTAGGTTTCTGTCTGATTGACCTGTCCATTGGTGAGAGAGGTGTGTTGAAGTCTCCTACTACTAGTGTGTGTGGTTTGATGTCTGCCTTGAGTTTTAGTAATATTTCTTATACATAAGTGGGTGCTTTTATATTAGGGGCATAGATATTCAGGATTGAGACTTCCTCCTGATGAATCGTTCCTGTTATGTGTATAAAGTGTCCATCTCCATCTCTTCTGATTGAATTTAGTTTGAAGTCAGTTTTGTTAGCAATTAGTATGGCCACACCTACTTTTTTCTTAGGACCTTGCCCAACCCGTTACTCTGAGTAGATGCCTGTCTTTGTCGTTGAGATGTGTTTTTTGCAAAGAGCAGAATATTGGATTCCGTTTTTGTATCCAATCTCTTAGCCTGTGCCTTTTTATAGGTGAATTGAGACCATTAATATTAAATGATATTAATGACCAGTGGTTGTTTACTCCGGTTATTCTTATTGTTTTTGGTAGTAGAGTTTATGTGTCTCCCTTCTTTGAGTTGTGCTGGTGAAGGGTCGCTAGATGCCTGAGTTATTGTAGGCAGTTTTGGCAATGTTGGATTCCTTGGGTTGTGATTTTCCTTCTATTACTTTCTGTAGGGCTGGATTTGTGGCTATGTATTGTTTAAAATTGTTCTTATCCTGGAATGTCTTGTTTTCTCCATTGATAGTGAACGATAGCTTCGCTGGGTAAAGTAGTTTTGGTTTGAATCTATGGTCTCTTATTTTCTGCAGTACATCTATCCAGAACCTTCTGGCTTTCATGGTTTCCATAGAGAAGTCAGGTGTAAGTCTGATCGGTTTACCTTTATAAGTTACTTGCCCTTTTTCCTTTGCAGCTCTTAATATTCTTTCTTTAACCTGTATATTTTGTGTTTTGATAATTATATGGCAAGGGGATGTTTTTCTTTTTTTTTTTGATCCAGTCAGTTTGGTGTTCTGTATGCTTCTTGAATATTCAAAGGAATATCTTTCTTTATGTTGGGAAAATTTTCTTCCATAATTTTGTTAAGAATATTTTCAGGGCCTTTGAGCTGTGACTCTTCTCCTTTTTCTATCCCTATTATTCTTAGGTTTGGTCTTTTTATTGTGTCCCATATTTCCTGAATGTTTTGTGATGATAATTTGTTGGCTTTGCTGTTTTCTTGATCATGCGTTTATTTTCTCTATGGTGTCTTCAGAATCTGAGATTCTTTCTTCTATCTCTTGTATTCTATTGATTATGCTTGTTTCTGTAGGCTCGGCTCGTTGACCTAGATTTTCCATATCCAGTTGGTCCTCAGTTTGTGTTTTCTTCCTTGCTTCCATTTCAGTTTTCAATTCTTGAACTGTTTCCATTACCTGTTTGATCGTTTTTTCTTGGTTTCCCAGGGTATCATTTACGTATTTACTCATTTCTTCAAACTTTTTGTTATACTTCTCATCCATTTCTATAAGTGTGTTTTTTACATGTTGTTTAAGGGACTCTATTGCTTTCATAAAGTCAATTTTTTCCTCTTCTTCTGTGTTAGGGTGTTCAAGTCTTTCTGTTGTAAGATCATTGGGTTCTGGTGTTTTCATGTTGTTTTTCAGATTGTTGGGTGAGTTCTTGCCTTGGCACCTGCCCATCTCCTCCTATCGTTGCTATCTAATGGGTCTTTTAAATCAGGATCAGGTTTCCCTACTGGCCAGGGGCCCCCCTTACCAAATGCCCTCGCTTCGTTTCCTGGTTCCCGCCAGGGGCCAAGATCCCTCTCACCACTCAGAAGGGTCTTCAGGACCAGGACCAGGCTCCCCGTTTGCCAGGGACCTTGCCAACAAAAGGCCTACCACTCTGCAGGCCAGCCACCAAAACAGAGAAACTCCCGCTGCCCTCTGCCCCACCTCCCGACCCAGAGCCCAAACAGGCTTAACTGGGAGGTCCTGCAACCCCATGGAAGGGTGGGGGGGGGCGAAGGAGGCCCCTGGGCACAAGCTGGGATGGGTCAGGGAGAGAGAGGTTGCAGCAGAGGAGGATCAGCCCCAGCAGAGGGTACCAGCCCTTGCAGACTAACTGGAGGGACAAGGGGGTTGGGGAATGCCCCCGCTGTGTTTCCTGTGTCCAGCAGTGGGCCCAGAACACTCTCTCCACTCAGGAGGGTCTTCAGGGACAGGACCAGGCTCCCTGTTCACCTGTGGACCTCGCTTATACAAGGCCTACTACTCTGCAGGCCAGGCCCCAAAAAACCTACTTGATTTAGTTGTAGTGGGGCGATCTGCTCTTAGTGTGGGCTTCACTGTTAAATGCTTGGACTATCCCGCTTCTGGGGCCTGCGCGTCGGGTCTCCACCACTGGGTTGGGGCCTGCACGCCAGGTCTCCGCCACCGGAATGGGCCATCCATGTTTCTAAAATGTCAAAATTTCTTTTCCTATTATAATTTTCATGTTTAAATCTTTAACCCATATAGTTTATGGAAGTTAGATTTTCTTTCTTTCTGACAAGTTTTCAATTTCCCCTTCACCCTTGTTAAGTGGTAAGTTTTATTTTCAGAATATGCAGTGTACTAAATCTCTTGTGTACTCGAGTCCATGATCTGCATGGTATGCATCTCAGTAATATCATTTAATTGCATTAGCTTGGTAATTTATTTTAACCTTTTTGGCTGCTGCTTTTTGAGATGGAGTCTCTTGTAACCCAGGATAGCTATCTTCCTGTCAATGCCTTCTGAGAACTTGGATTTTAATATTTACTAAAGTTATTGTCTGAGAACTCCTATTTAAAAGTACCAAAATCCAGTTTAATCTCAGTAATGTGAAATGTGAGTTATCTGCTGTTTAAGTGTATCTGTATGCTACAGTTGTTTATAAAATCTGAAAACAGGCATAATATCAATAATATTGATTGCATAGTCATCTGAATAGCTTTAGATTTTTGCAGCTGTTTGACAAAATTGCTAGTTTGAATGTAAAGAAATCAATGCTCATATGATGAGGAGAGAAACCTGGCAGAAGATCAAGGCCAGCCTGGGCTACATAACAATACCCTATCTCAGAAATAGCAAATCAAATAAAATCAACAAACACAAAGAAAACCATGGTCAATAAACTAATCATAAGTATGAGCCATTAACAAGGTTCTTCAAATCCTGAGTTTGAGTTCTTTAATTTTAACGATTTTTTTTTCAGAATAAAGCTTTCCCATACATCTGTTGAGTAGTGTGGTGTCTATGATAATATCCATAGAGGAAGCCGGGCGTTGGTGGTGCATGCCTTTAATCCCAGCACTCGGGAGGCAGAGGCAGGTGGATCTCTGTGAGTTCGAGACCAGCCTGGTCTACAGAGCTAGTTCCAGAACAGGCTCCAAAGCTGCAGAGAAACCCTGTCTCGAAAAACCAAAAAAAAAAATATATCCATAGAGGAGTTTTCTTATGGTTATGATGGTAGATATGTTATAAATAGCCCATAAGAAACTTTGGGATTTTAGGTCTGAGAGGAGGAATGTATTTACCATATTTGATTTTCATACCCTCAGAAAAGTGCTGGAAATCTTTGGACATTTCTTCTCTGAGTGCACTGGTCCAGATGCTAAAGAACACTATCATCATTGCCATCCCTCAGCTGATGCATCCAAGTTTCATGAGGCAGGCCCAACATAGTCTGAAAGTTCTTCTAAAAGTGATGAAATGTGTGCATAAGGTAAGGATCCTCTAGAGGAATGTCTACACCAATTTATTAAATAATAATTCTTTAGGTCTCAGACAGTTAAAAACCTTTAAAATATATTTTTTTAAAGATTTATTATGTATACAGTGTTCTGCCTGTATATATGCCTGCAGATCAGAAGAGGGCACCAGATCTCATTACAGATGGTTGTGAGTCACCGTGTAGTTGCTGGGAATCGAACCCAGGACCCCTGGAAGAGCAGCTCCGCTTAACTACTGAGCATTCTCTCCAGCCCATGCTTCAAAAATATTTTTTCTAATATTTTTTATTACTTTATAAATAATACCATTCAAAATTTCCATTTCCTCCCCTCCTCCCACTTCTCTCCGGCTCCCCCACTCAACCTGCCCCCCCTCCAGTCCTAAGAGAGGGCAGGGTACCCTGTCCTGTGGGAAGTCCAAGGCCCTCCCCCCCTCCATCCAGGCTTAAGTAGGTATGCATCCAATAGAACAAAAAAACAGTACATGCAGTAGAGACAAATCCCAGTGTCATTATCATTGGCTTCTCAGTCTGCTCCAATTGTCAGCCACATTCAGAGGGTTTGATCCCATGCTAGTTCAGTTTTGGTCCAGCTGGCTTTGGTGAGCTCCCATTAGACCAGGCACACTGTCTCAGTGGGTGGACCAGCCCGTTGTGGTCCTGACTTCCTTGCTCATATTCTCCCTCTTTCTGCACTTCACCTGGACCTTGGGAGCTCAGTCCAGTGCTCCATTGTGGGTCTCTGTCTCTCTCTCCCTCTGTCACTGGACAAAGGTTTTCTGGTGATATTCAAGATAGTCATCAGTCTGACTACGGGACAAGGCCAGTTCACGGACCCTCTCCTCCGCTGCCCAGGGTCCTAGCTGGGGACATCCCCGTGGACATCTGGGAACCCCTCTAGAGTCAAGCCTCTTGCCAACCCCACAATGCCTGTCTTAATTAAGATAACTTTCTCACTGCTCCCGTATCTGTCCTTCCTACATCTCAACCATCCCACTCCCCCAAGATCTCCCCAACCCTCCCCTTCTCCCTACTCTCTTCCCCTCTCCTCTTCCCTTCACCCCACCCCCACCTCCATGCTCCTAACTTCTGCCTGGCGATCTTGTCTGCTTTCAATTTCCAAGAGGATCTATATCTGTTTTTCTTTGGGTTCACCTTATTACTTAGCTTCTCTAGGATTGTGAACTGTAGGCTCAGTGTCCTTTGTTTATGGATAGAATCCACTAATAAGTGAGTACATACCATATTCATATTTTTGGGTTTGGGTTATCTTACTCAGGATAGTATTTTCTATTTCCATCCATTTGCATGCAAAATTCAAGATGTCACTGTTTTTTTCCCCGCTGAGTAGTACTCTAACGTGTAAATGTGCCACACTTTCTTTATCCATTCTTTCATTGAGGGGTATCTAGGTTGTTTCCAGGTTCTGGCTATTACAAATAATGCTGCTATGAACATAGTTGAACAAATGCTTTTCTAGTATGATTGGTCATCTCTTGGGTATATTCCGAAGAGTGGAATTGCTGGGTCCTGAGGTAGGATGACTCCCAATTTTCTGAGAAACCGCCACACTGATTTCCAAAGTGGTTGCACAAGTTTGCATTCCCACCAGCAGTGAATGAATGTTCCTCTTACTCCACATCCTCTCCACCATATGTTATCATTGGTGTTTTTGATTTTAGCCATTCTGACAGGTGTAAGATGGTATCTCAAAGTTGTTTTGATTTGCATCTCCCTGATCGCTAAGGAAGTTCAACATGTCCTTAAGTATCTTTTGGCCATTTGAAATTCTTCTGTTGAGAATTCTCTGTTTAGTTCAGTACCCCATTTTTAATTGGGTTATTTAGAATTTTTAATGTCAAGTTTCTTGAGTACTTTATATATTTTGGAGGTCAGACCTTTGTCTGATGTGGAGTTGGTGAAGATCTCCCATTCAGTAGGTTGCCTTTTTGTCTTAATGACTGTGTCCTTTGCTTTACAGAAGCTTCTTGGTTTCAGGAGGTCCCATTTATTCATCGTTCTTAGTGTCTGTGCTACTGGGGTTATTCATAGGAAGTGGTCTCCTGTGTTCATGTATTGCAGGCTACTTCCCACTTTCTCTTCTATCATGTTTAGTGTGGTCGGATTTATATTGAGGTCTTTAATCCATTTGGACTTGAGTTTTGTGCATGGTGATAGATATGGATCTATTTTTATTCTTCTACAGGTTGATACCCAGTTACGCCATCACCATTTGTTAAAGATGCTTTCTTTCTTCTATTGTATAATTTTAGCTTCTTTGTCAAAAATCAGGTTTTCATAGGTTTGCGGATTAATATCTGGGTCTTCAATTCAATTGCATTGGTCAACGTCTCTGTTTTTATGCCAATACCAAGCTGTTTTCATTACTGTGGCTCTGTAATAGAGTTTAATGTCAGGGACAGTAATGCCTCCGGAAGTTCCTATATTGTATAGGATTGTTTTGGATTGTTTTGGCTATCCTGTTTTTTTTGTTTTTCCATATAAAGTTGATTATTGTTCTCTCAAGGTCTGTGAAGAGTATTGTTGGGATTTTGATGGGAATTGCCTTTGGTAGAAATGCCATTTTTACTATGTTGATCCTTCCAATCCAAGAACATGGGAGATCTTTCCATTTTCTTGTATCCTATTCAATTTCTTTCTTCAAAGACTTAAAGTTCTTGTCAAATAGATTTTTCACTTCCTTGGTTAGTGATACCCCAAGATACTTTATGCTATTGTGTCTGTCGTGAAAGGTGATGTTTCTTTGATTTCCCTCTCTGCTTCTTTATCCTTTGTGTATAGGAGGGCTACTGATTTTTTGAGTTGATCTTGTATCCTGCCACATCACAGAAAGTATTTATCAGCTGTAGGAGTTCTCTGATAGAGTTTTTGGGGTCACTTGTGTAGACTATAATATCATTTGCAAATAATGAGTTTGACTTCTTCCTTTCCAATTTGAATCCCCTTGATCTTTTTATGTTGTCATATTGCTATTGCTAGAACTTCAAGCACTATATTGAAGAGATATGGAGAGAGTGGACAGCCTTGTCTTGTTCCTGATTTTAGTGGAATCGCTTTGAGTTTCTCTCCATTTAATGATGTTGGCTGTCGGCTTGCTGTTTATTGCTTTATATTTAGATATGATCCTTGTATTCCTAATCTCTCCAAGACTTTTATCATAAAGGGATGTAGAATTTTGTCAACTGCTTTCAGCATCTAATAAAATGATCATATGTTTTCTTTTCTTTCAGTTTATTTATATGATGGATTACATTGATAGATTTTCATATGTTGAACCAGCCCTGCATCTCTGGGATGAAGCCTACTTGATCATAATGGATAATTTTTGATGTGTTCTTGGATTTGGTTTGCCAGTATTTTGCTGTATCATTTCCCCCTTCCCTTACTTCCCTGCAACCTGTAGCACAAATTCTAAAAATGGTATTAATAACAAAACCCAGAGTCAGATATGGTGGTTAATGCTGAAGATCAGAGAAACAAAGTGCCCAGCCACTAGAGAGTTCTTACCTCTACCAATGCTCACACCAAAGGGGCGATCCTATCCTCAGACTGCACTGCTCCTCAGACTGCATCAAGCTTCTGTCTCCTCCTGTTTTTTATTCCTCCCTCTGCCCAGCCATATCAATCCTGTCTCCACCTCCCTAGTGCTGAGATTAAGGTGTGTGACTCCCTAATACTGAAATTAAAGATATGTGATACCACTGCCCGACCTCTAGTGTCTAGCTCTGCATTCTGATCTTCAGGCAAGCTTTATTTGTTAAAAATACAAATAAAATATCACTAGAGCAACACCTCTTCTCTCTCTCTCTCTCTCTCTCTCTCTCTCTCTCTCTCTTTCTCTCAAATTCATGGACTCTTTATTTTTGTTACATATGTGTAGAAATGCATATATGTATGAAGTTACCCTGTTGAGTTCATTTAGTACTGCTTCTGTGTACACGATTCCAGGGCTGGCCACTTAGTGTTAGATACCCAATTAGGGGTATCATCCCTGAAGATGACTAACTACCTCTCAGCAGTTATTGGGCTGACTGTGGTCCTTTGTGTAGGGAGGAGCACTGTGACATTTCCACTTTCCACAACAGCATATCTATTGGTACTGTCATTGCTCAGACATCATTTAGTGACCTTATTATTGAGGCATCATGGGTGTAGCTTTCCCATCATTTCTAGGGAACACAATCATACAACAAGGCTTCCTGGTCCTCTCTCTGTTATAGTCTCTCCACCCTCTCTTTCACAGTGTTCTATGAAAGTCAGGTATAGGCATCATAGATGTATCCATTGGGTCTGAACAATGCAAGATCAGTTGTTCTCTGAACTTTGATAAGTTGTAGTTTGCTGTAATGGTCCACATCTGCTACAAAGAGAGGCATCCTAGATGAGGAGTAAGAGCTACAATTATAGTGGATACGAGGATAGGTGTTTAGAATGCTGTTGGGGAATAATATTGGTCTAATAAAGTGGTCGTTGTAGGTTCTCCTTTAAGATCCTGACCTCGCTCTCCCTGGATAGTTGTTTAGGTTTCCAGGATCCGGCATGATTTCCCTCCTGTTGAATGGGCCTTAAGTTCAATTTGATAGCTGCTGGTTACTACCAAGGTTTCTGTACCTATAGAGATATTTTGCCATATTTGGCACTGCCATGAATCATAAGCATCACAGCTGGGTAAAACTCTTGGTTACCTTCCTCTCTTGGCATCTTTCAAAATACGTTCTGAGACTAAAACCTAGACTCTTGGGAGGAGGCTTTCAGGTCAGATCCATATCTAATGTTCTTAGTCCTTTTTCTGAGGTGTGTTGTGTTTTCAGCCTCTGGAAAGTAATCAAAGGCAGCAGCAATAGCCTATAATGTTTTGGGAGTCTCTTCAACTTCCTTGACCAATAACTCTAAAAAAGATTTCTTTAATGTTGTAAGGAGTGGCAGGCTGCATCCTGCCGCTCGGCTAGCTTTTCACCAGAAATAACTACATGAAAACTGTATTCTTTTAAACACTGCCTGGCCCATTAGTTCTAGCCTCTTATTGGCTAATTCTCACATCTTGCTTTAACCCATATTTAATAATCTTGTAGCACCACGAGGTGTGGCTTACCAGGAAAGATCTTAACCTGCGTCTGTGTCCGGTGGGAGAATCATGGTGACTCACTGACTTGGCTTCTTTCTCCTAGCATTCTGTTCTGTCTACTCCACCTATGTAAGCTGCTGTCCTATCAAAAGGGCCAAGGCAGTTTCTTTATTAACCAATGACCTTCCTCCATCACTTTAATGTGGTACTGGAGTTCTTGTTAGATAGTCTGTGGTCTTTATGGGGAGCAATATTATCTCAAGTGGCATAAATTCATTATATATGTGTCTGTGTTGTGTGTATGTGTATGTATGTATGTACACACACACAAATATAATCATGGAATTTTAGGTTAGTATAAAGAAAAATGATTCTTATGGCTTTTTCAAACATCCTTACTGTCAGTTTCACCTTCTCTGTGACTTCCTTTCTGCACTGGCCCTCCACTGTTCCCCAGTTGTAGTCTCCCTGATTTTCCCACTTTCCCATTCATATCACTTGTATCCTACTATTGCCTTTCAAGCACTCATTCTCTCTCCCTCTCTCTCTCTCTTAGTCAGGGTTTCTATTGCTGCAATCAAACAGAGGAAAGGGTTTATTTGGCTTGTACTTCCAGATCATAGTCCATTGGAGGAAGTCAAAACAGAACTCAAGCAGAGCAAGAACCTGGAGGCAGGAGTTGATGCAGAGGACATGGAGGGGAACTGCTTACTGGCTTGCTCCCTCTGGCTTGCTCATTCTGTTTCCTTATAGAGTTCAGGACCACCAGCCCAGGGATGGCACCCCCTACAGTGGGCTGGGCCCTCCCCCATTGATCACTAATTGAGAAAATGCCTTACAGCTGCATCTCATAGAGGCATTTTCTCAACTGAGGTGCCTTTTTCTTGATGACTCTAGCTTGTGTCAAGTTGACAAGCAAACCTAGCCAATACAATCCCCATAGTCCCTTTTTACTATTCTGGTTTCTGTGCTTTCTCTATGTTTTATAGAGCTTTTCCTTTCATTTTCTAAACCTGCCATATTTTTATCTTTTCAGCAACTGATGAATATTTTGGTTATTCCAATGTCTTGATCATTTACAGTTGTGTACAAGTTCTTATGTAAATAAATGTTTTCATTTCTTTTGGACATATAGCTAAGAGTAGAATTGTTGAACCATACAAAAGCTCCATCCTGTGAAGCCCTACTAGCTTATTTTCCAAAGACCAGCACAATTTTGTCCATCTATCGAGAAAGTAGGAAAGTTATATTTTTCATGTACTTCTCAACTACTTATTAGCTGCTATTTTGATTATGTGTCTTATATAGATTTCTTTTCGAATATATAAAGGATTTCATCAAGCACTATACATATGTGTGTGTGTAAAATTGAAAACGTAAGAAAGACACACACATACAAATTTACAGACAACAGCATTTATAGTATAAGTAAAGGAAAGAATTCAACTGTCCTGCAAATATACAGAGGGATTGGCATTAGAAACACCATGGATAAGCCAGAAATTTTTTTTAATGACTGACAGACACCATGTAAAAAAAACTCTTGACTTTTCGGTGAAATATGCTGAATGAGGCTTATCCCATCAAACTCAACTTGTCTAAAACACCCTTATTCCATCACTGTCAAATGCATATTCCGTTACGCATGTAAGCGTAGGTGTCACGCATTACATCATTTATTAGTAGAAAGTGAAATTCCAGGCCATGTTCTCTTTAAGGTTAACCGTCGACTGCCAGCAAGTACTTTCATCATAAATGAGTTTTCTGCCATCTTATACACCTTTGTGGAGGAAACCAATCAGGTAAGTATGACATATTCCCTAATGAGAATGTTCATGACATAAGGCAGGACATGTTAGCAACTGTGCACTAAAAATGTCTTTATTATAATACTAAATTGGCTAAATCGCGCGGCCATTGAAAATTTAAATATTTTGCCCACAAAACAAATTATTTTCCTATAAATGTGCTTCCAAGGGCTAGGGCTGTAGCTTAGTTGGGAGTGTCTGCTTAGCATGCATTGAGACCTGAATTCTTGATTCCCAGTACTGCATAAATCAGGTATGGCAGTGCATGCCTGTGATCTCTACACTTCAGTGGAGAAACAAGGATCAGAAATGTGAGGCCGGGGGAGGCGAGATAGCTCACTGGTTAAGAGAACTGGATGTTCTCTTCCACTGGACCTGAGTTCTGCTCCTAGCACCCATATGGTGGCTCACAACTGTCTGCAACTCCTTTTCAAGAGGGTAGAGACCCTCTTCTAGCATTTTTGGACACTGCAGACACTGCACATATCTGGGGTACAGACATACATGCAACAACAAAACACCCAAACACTTAAAAGAATAAAGTAATTTAAATTTTGAAAAATAGTTTAAATTTTGAAAAAACAAGAAGTGCAAGGTTGTCCTCTGGTATGTAGTGAGGTTGAGGTCAAAATGGGATTTATGACATTTGTCTTAAAAACAAACAAGGAAAGACAGGTAGGCAGAGAGAGGAACAAAAGGAAGGGGTGCTTCTTGCTAATTAAATTCTTAAAAATAGATTCAAAAGATGCTAGCAGTATATAAAGTGATAAAATTAAGGAAAAGATTGAATGTTATTTTTATTTTCATTGTCAAATTTGTTGTTTGCTTATTTTTCTTTCCATTTTTTTTCTTAGTTACTTTCAGAATCCTCTGGTCTTGTTTTAAGTGATTTTCTATTTGTCTTCAATTTGCCATTCAAACTTATGTTAATGCAATGGGACTTACATGCAAAACCAAGGGTATGTATGTTTTTGTTTCCATGATAACATAACTGAGACTGTATACTTTATAAAGTGTTTTTTTTAAAACTAGCAGTTTTAGAAGTTCATCGATGTGATGTAGGAATCCCGATGTGTCTATCCTCACTTCTTCACTACCCTATCTCTTACCACCAGCATTAAAATAGGAGAAGCACTAAAGGATTTTACCTTCTATTGAAGGGGCCAATTGTGTTGTTTGGCTTCACTTCATAACAACCTGTTCTGATAAGGAATAACCTCTGTGAGGCTAATAGGAATCCCTTCCGTGGGTAGTGTCCCATAACCTGAATGTCTTCCAGAAGTCCAATTTAGAAGTTAATTATCACCACACTGGAGACAAAGTTTTACAGGATTCTTTGGAAACATAGTCAAATGATATTCAAGCCAATATGGGTTACCATTTTTTATCATAAAAATTCAAACATATATAAAATAAGAATAGTGGTACTCATCACCAAGGTCAAAAGGTATAAACATTTTACCACATGTGTTGGTCTTCTACTTTAGTTAATTTTGCAGTCACTACTAGTTTTCTGAAGTATTTTAACAAAAATGCCAGCTCAAATTTCTTTCCAGCATTTAATCCTTCAATCTTCTAATTTCAGTTACCTCATTTTTGTGTGCACTGATTTTATTATTTAAGGGGTCACCTCATGCTTCTTCCATTTTAGAATTTCTTACCAACCTTTAACACTTTTGCACAGGTAGAAAACTTACCTAATAATTTTATTTCATCTCTTACTTTTTTTAAGGTCTCAGTAGAGCAGTATTTCTGATCCCACCATATCTAAGTCATTATTTAGAATTCTGAAAAAAAGCTTCTTGGTTAATCCAGGCTATTTGATTACTCACATAACAAAGCAGTGCAATGTTTAAATTTTTCTTTTTAATTATTAAATGTTGCTAGAGTAAACCTTGTATTTATTTTGCCAATCTTTGTTCCCACCAGCAATGTATAAAGCCCTTCTTTCAGTCTTTCACCAAAACAGAATGCTAATGATCTTGTGACCTGTACCAGTCTGACCAGTCAATCATGATTTGGTTTAATTTGAGTTTCTCATTTTGCATTCCAGTCCTCACTGTCTGTACGTGACATCATTTCCCTAATAAGCTATTCTTTTCCTCTCCTCATTTTATCTGATTTTAACTATTGCTCTGATCTTAGTGTCAGTCTTCAGATTTTTTTTAATTCATTGGAGCTTGACTTATAAGCATCAATATTTAATACTATTTTATTAATTCTTTGATAATTTCATATATACTGTATTTTCATCATATTAACATCTCATCAAACCCCTCCAGATCCATTCTCACCTCTCTACCCACCAAACTTCATGGTCTTTCTCTCCACCCATGCCCGTCCCCTTTTTAAACCCTAGTCCAATTTGTGTTGCTCATATCCTCTTGGGTGTTGAGCCCAGCAGCAGTCACATCCCTCTGAACAGTTATCACAAGCCAGTATCTCTTCAGCAAGGAGTGGAGGGTTTGTACTCCTCTCGTCCCATGACTCCACGCTGGGATTTATCTGGGTTGAATCTGCTCAATTGTTGTGCATGCTGTCCCAATCACTATGAGTTCATATGTGCAACTGCCCTATTGTGTTCTGAAAACACTTCCCTTGTGTTTGCCTTGTGTCACTGCTCTGAGTTTTACAATTTTCCCACACTCTCTTCTGTGAAAGTCCCTGAGCCTGTAGGGAAGGGGTAGGCTATGGACCCTGTCACTGAAGATGTTGAGTACTTGACTCATAGAACATGGAGAAATCAAGAAGTAGATTTGGAAACTGCATTCCTACTGACTAGTTTTTGTGGTGCTGGAAAGTGCTACGTACACTGCCTCAGGAGCAAAATAATCATCAGTCTCACTCATTTGTGGATCCTGCAAGCTATAATAGTGACTGTCCTGGCAAGATATGCCCTGTGGTGCAACAGTGGTATGAATGTTATGGAATTAACTAGGTCGTGCGGGAGAATTATCTGTATTCTATCAATCATGTATTTTAATAAAACACTGATTGGCCAGGCAGGAAGTATAGGCAGGTCAACCAGACAGGAAGTAGAGGCGGGGCGATGAGAACAGGAGAATGCTGGAAAGGAGGAAGCCCATTCCTCTCATTCCTGCCCAGACCACCAAGAAGTAAGATGTAATCTACCCGGCTGAGAAAGGTACCGAGCCATGTGGCTAACGTAGATAAGAATAATGGGTTAATATAAGCTATAAGAGTTAACAAGAAGCCTGAGCTAATGGACCAATCAGTTTTATAACTTATGGAGATCTCTGTGTGATTTTCTCTGGCACTAAATGGCTGGGGACTGGGTGGGACAGAAACCCCAACAAACAAGCAGGCCCCTTCATGTTACAACCAGCTGTTCTCTGGTTCAATTTAAAGCCCACTCTGGTATTAAACCAATACCTGGCACCATTATTAGGGCCAAGGAACCTGGGTTTAGGTCTTTTGGAGAACCCACTACTATTATTCTGCTAAATGGACATGGCATGAAAACAATCACTAAAATCTTTTTGCTATACCCATAGATTATTAGTGAATTTCTTAAACATCATCAAAGAAATAGCTTCTTATAGTACATGGCAATTAACACAGAAACCCACAACTGCTCAACATGCAAAGAATAAAAGCCTGTAGAGTAAATGGGATAACTATATCCTATATCCAACATATATTTTCTGATTTTGAGAAGATGGCTGGTTTGGTCACAGAACTTTTTTTCCACTCTGACCATTTTGTTCCTCTCTCACAACTGTATTATTACTACACAATATTTACATGTTTTCTTTCTGAGTTTCTTGTTAGATATATAATGTTCTTTCCCTAGACAGTGTATTAACGATTTTTAAAACATTTTTTGATTGCTAAGTCTTGTTTTCTAGGTCATTTATCAGGAAATGTTCATATTGATTTATGGTATTTAGATTTTAATGATTCATTGGAATCCAACATCATAAACTTTATTGTTTTATTATGAATTTAAACATCATGACCATCTCTATAAAACCAATAAGTCTAGGACACAATGTCCACAAAAGAAGCCATTTTAACAACAAAATATTTCCTTTTATATTCTATTAATTACATATGACTTTTGCCAATGCACTATGCCATAAATTCCAGGTTTTTACAATAAGCAAGCAAGATACAAGGAATGTCCTAGTACTATCAGTCCAAAACTAAGGGTTCCCTGTCTGCTGTTAGCAGCTCTTGTAATCACTGTCATCAGCCAGTTTAATCAAGTCTCCTATTTTAATCTCCTTGACACTCTGGTAAAGGGAAAAAGTGAAGTCTTTCCTTCCCAATCCTAACCTCCCCATAAAATTCTTTCAAACAATTCCTTCCACGTATAGTATTTTTCTCTACAGAAGTGTATGGAGAACAAGTGGAGATAATTTGGACCATAAGGTCAGATGGAGAGTCTCCATTCAGGTCTTAACTAAGCAAGAGAAATTACAAGTATTTCTGCCTGCTGCAGTCAGTGGTCTGTGCATCCCTCAGAGCCGTGGACAATGTGGGCTAGAAGCCAAGTCAGTGTAGCTGAAGCATCTCAGAACTACAGAGTTCTGAACACAGAAGTCAATAAAGAACTGGGGGAAGGGAAATAACAGACCAATCTAGTAGAACTGTATAAATGTCTCAGTATGTGGTGGCTGCAGAGATCTGCAGTAGGAGTTCTCCAGTCCAGAGTCACATACATCCTCACCTAAGATGACAGAAAACTGATAAGGGCAGACACATCTAATCTAGAAACTTGTTATCCATTAATCAAGCTATCACTACTATAAGGCAGACCCCAAGGGAACAGTCTTGTATCATGATTTCTAAATATTGCTTTATTGTCCATGCGGTAGACCTGAAGGCTCCAAGGTGTTTAAGGTTAAATCAAGGTTAGCCAAGGCCATTGTTAAACTTCTAATATCAAGAAATTTAACAGAAGCAAGACCAAGGCCTGTGGTAGGGAAGAAGTATGGAAGATTTAGGAGGCTCAAGGCACTCCTGTTTAGAATGGTCAGAACAGTGCTCCAAAGCAGTATGACTCCTGGCGGCACAGTTTTAGAGACTTCCAACATGGATGGTTATGATTTGTAGAGTGTATCCTCTCAGAGAATGTCATCCCTTTGTCTTCTTCCTATTGCTGACACTTCCCCTTGTCTCATCCACAGCCCTTAGCGTCATTTCTGAGGTTTAGGTGATAACAATGGACTTCTGAAGGCTGATGGCAGATTGTTCACTTAGAATGTTTGATGATACAGTAAGGGATCTTAGACAGTTTTAAGAACTTGACTGTTCATGCCCAGTCACTAATTTTTGCACATAAACACGAGATGTCACAGCTTGTTTGATCCTGTAATTGCATTATCTTACACTGTAAAGATTTAATAGCACTTTCCTTAAATTATAAATGTATAGAGTATTGATAGTAAGATACAAAAGATATTTTATTAGAAATATTAGACGTAAATTAAACCAAGCCCGGTGCTTTGTGCCCTCAGGAGGTTTATGGAGGGGTGTATTATGAATTCAAGGAAGTTTGGCTGCCTGGTAAGACCTTCAATAAGAGAAAAACCAAAGGAACAAACAAAAAAAATACAAAAAAAAAAAGCTAGGATCATTTTTTGTAAAAAAGTGGAGAATCAGGTAGACAAGGCTGACCTTGAATTTCAACCTGGTACATAATCAAGGTGGTCTTTAATTTCTTTCTAAAACATGTTTACATTTTTGTGCTGTTTGTGTGTATGTTGCCATCCACATATGGAGTTCAGAGGACAACTTGCTTGGGTCCGTTCTCTCCTTCTAGCATATAGGTTCCCGAGAGGAAGCTGTGGTTAGGAGGGTTGGCAACAAGCTCCTTTGCCTTCTTAGCTAGCTCACTGGCCCCAGATTTTGAATGTTTGATCCTCCAGTTTCTACTCACAGAGACTAGGCCTGTTTCACCATTCGCTTTTATCCCTGATAGCCTTAAAGATCCAAAGGAGAACCAACTGAAAATTGTTTTTTTTTTTCTAAAAGTGTGACACCATGGCACCTCAAGGAAGCATGAGACCAGAACTCTTAACACTGAGAGTCAGACGAAGTCACCTGGTTGAAGACGCCTTGCGTCAGTTAGGACAAGCTGACAACTCTGACCTTAGGAAACCACTAACGGTAAAGAAAAAGGTCTTGCTGGACTTTTTATTGTGGGAGGGGACATTCATAATTAAGAAGTTGCATTCACAACTATGGTGATTAAGGTCTTAAGGTTTCTAGAAGCTCCCCCTTTCCATTAAGGGAATGGAATGTGCTAAGCTTCCAAAAAAAACAAATTCTGGAGGATAACGCTCAGACCAGAGAGGATGATTTCTCAGTGTGTAATTCAAGTCGAAAACAAAACAAAACAGTTTGATTTTAGAAATCAGACTCCCTTTGTATCTAGTTTTCTTATGCTTTCTGGGGATATCGATAGAACATTCTTTCCTCTATAGAAAATCACTGTCCTTAAGAAGAAATATGTTAGCTTCAAGACAGATACAAAATAGACCAAGCATGACAAGACTGTCCTTCCTAATCCTTGCCCTCACTATGAGTCCTGACCAGGCCAAAGAGCTTGATCAAAGACCAGCAGAAAAGCTTTCTCAGCTAGAGTAGAAGATGAGCAAACCCTGGAGGAATGAAGCTTAAGCATGCTCATATTCAAACGACAGAGCCAGGGAGTGGCAGAGTGCTTGCCGAGCCTGCCTGAGGGCCCAATTCAACTCCAGCACCATGTATTCGATATATAAATGAATGAAAGAAATGGAATTAGCCAGAAAAGGAATTGTCAGAGCAGGCAGAGTAAAACGAAGTCAGTACTGGGTCATGAAATCCAGATGCAGGAGTGGGTGCTATGGCAACGAACTTACTGCAAAGGTGCTTAGCTCACACTCACTGCAAAGGTGCTTAGCTCACACTCACTGCAAAGGTGCTTAGCTCACACTAACTGAGAGGGCTGAATACCAGAGGTAGAGGCTGGAGAAACCAAAAGGCTGACCATTAGAGACAAGTCTGCACAGTCTGAAAGCTATTATGAAGACAGTCAATAAGGCTAAATAACTGGAAAATGTCATGGCTCAGGGGTTTGAAGCATATCAAAATTTATACCAAGATATTATTCCTTCTTCCAGTGGTGAGTATGTCAGTCTAAAGGATCCATGTACTCACGGTCTAATCAAGCTGAGAATCAGTGGGCTCCTGGCATTCACAACTTGGCAGCAAGCACTGAAGGAAAACAGGGTATGAGAAGGTAAAGCAGTGTGTGGGTCTGGCAGTTCTAGAGAATTCGAGGAATGGTCAGGACAGGCCCGAGATTTTTCCATTAAGGGCAAAAAGCTATATTTTGACGAAGAGCCTTGAAATAAATTTTCTTCCTATAGGTTGAATTTATTAACGAAGTCAGTGCTAAGAGTGCAGGGGTGAGTTCAGAGTTCTTCCACTACATATTTGAAGAGATGACAGACCCCAAATATGGAATGTTTGTATATCCCGAAAAGAGCTCCCGCATGTGGTTTCCGGTCAATGTAAGTTATGTCTTTCTCATAAAACATAGTAAATGCTGCAATATGCAGACCATAGATAACAGTGTAAAATTAGGACTGTATGACCCGGCTTCCCCATGTTGAGTAGTACCACACTCACGGAGCAGTAGCTGTGCCATGGCATGATCTGGCAGCATGTAGAACACCAGACTTATCTAGGTGTGGTATTGCATACTTAACCCCAGTGTTCAAGGCACTTGTAGAGGGGCAAAGCTTGAGGGCAGCTTGAACTGTTACTGGTGAGCTCAGGAAAACAAAACAAAACAAACAAATAAAACATCACTCTGGCCCTACTCAAGATCTACAGAATCAGAACTCATGACTCATATAAAATCCCCTTGGTGATTCCTATACATATTAGATTTTAGTATTAATGAGGTGTCATTGAAATATAATAGACACAGAAAATACCCAATTTCATGATCTACTTACACACCAGTGAAATAACAAATGCATACATCTTTGCCAAAGACTCTCTCACACTCCTTCCACATCCACCCTTCCTAAGCAACCACTGCTCTGCTTCTGGTCACTGTAGAGTGAGCCGTATTTTTATATAAATGAAATTAAATATGGTCAAATTTAGTATCTGTCAATATAATTACTTTGAGATGCATCCATGCCATGGCATGTGCTCATAGTTCAATTCTTATTTTTTCAACTGTGGAGTGATATTCTATTGCGTGGATATCCTAAAACTGATTATGTAATCTCTATGGAGTGGTTGTTTTTCCTTAATTTTGAGAGTTATAGTATAGAATGTTTCAAATTAGTAGAAACTGCTGATAGAATACTAGAGGTAACTTTTGAGTTTGAAAGTTAGTTAATTTGACTACATTTTCTTTCATTTTTGTCTTTTTATACATTTTATTATCCAGTGTCTAACTATGTATGCCAAGCTAGCCTTGAACTCACAATCTTCCTGCCTCTATCTTCTGAGTACTTGAATTAGGCATGCACCACATTCAGTAAAGCCCTCACTTTTAAGCATATTCATACTGTTTTGTTCAGTAGAAAACAGACACACACATACCCCCAATTTAAAAAAAAAAAGCATATGGCTTGATAAAAGAGGAAAGTTTCACCAAAGTACGTGTTACAAATTAAGGGATAGCAAACAGACTAGGTTAGGAGAGGCCTTTCGAGATTGTATTCTACTTTTTACTGATTTCAAAATTCTCTCTGAGGAGTTACTAAGTCAAGGAAAGTGGGGAGAATTATCACTCTGTGAGTTACTGACCCCCACAGACCGCTAACAGCAAGAATGGCACTGGAGTAAGGATCCTCGAATGTCACCCTAGATACTTCCTCCCTTGGGCTGCAGTTTGGTCCTGGAAAGCTTAGTTTTGGTTTGGTTTTCTACCCAGGACTACACAATGCAGAGAGGAAAAGTAAAGGCAGCTGTGTTAGCCTGCTATTCTTGTTGTCACTTTAATGAACCACCAGAGCTCTTTGTTACGCAGCCTCTGCAGCTCAGTGCTCTAGAAGCCCAAGGGCATACAGAGTGCTGACGTTCGCTGGCTCTCGCGAGGACTCTGGGCACAGGGTATCATGACAGGATCTTCTGCAGGCTAAGAGAAGTCACGGTAAGACAGGATGCCAGAGTGAGAAAGGGGCCCGTGAGAGCTACTCCAATGGTCAACCTCCACGCGGGGCTGCATTGCTGAGTGTGCATTCACACCACACTCATCTGGCATTTGTTCTGCTAACTTGAAGCGTCGATGCAGAGCCACCTTCCTTCCTCACGGTTGTTTTTCTCCGTGAATCGGAAGGCCAAGACCTTAAAGTTACAAAGGAAAACTATAATTGCACCTGAACGTTTGTTTCTACATTTCAGATATGCTATCAGTAACAAAAGTCTATTTACTTAATGTTCTGAATTTTTAATTTATATTAAAAATTGTGCAAGAAGCTGGGCGTTCTGGCACATGGCCATAATCCCACATTGGGGAGGTACAGGCAAGGTCACCCTCAACTATACAGTGAGTTTTGAGAATATCCTGTATGTCTCAAGCAAACAAACATAAACAACAGAAAGAACGTTATGGAAGATATTTAAATTTCATTATAACTTAGAAAGAGTATGAAATGTTTATTCTTTTTAAACCCAGTTTGTGTCTAACTTGTGATATTAATTAGAAAAGGGAGGTAAAATTTGTTCTTCATTAGTCTAATTGTGTCTTTGTAAAACTAATTATTTATAATACATTAGGATTTTTCTATTTTATTTTCTAGCCTAAGTTTGAGAAGAAGAGATATTTCCTCTTTGGGATCTTGTGTGGACTCTCCCTATCCAACTTAAAGGTTGTCAAACTTCCTTTCCCCCTGGCTTTGTATAAAAAACTTCTGAAAAAAAAGACAACTTTGGAAGATTTAAAAGAACTCAGTTTTCCCTTGGGGAAGTAAGTACATGTGTTGCTTGTCAAGAACAGTGTTAAGGCCAGCTGCTGAAGCGTCAATTGTGTCTCACACAAGGAAGGTCTTCACTTGTAATGCTGTGTGCCCTCTAGATGAGCCTTAGCATGACTTGTCAGCCTTCACACACAAGGAAGGTCTTCACTTGTAATGCTGTGTGCCCTTTAGATGAGCCTTAGTATAACTTGTCAGCCTTCAAAGCGAAGAAAAGTCAGATGTTTCTCTGATCACTACTAACACAATAAAAAGAGTTTGGACCTGGGCTGTTTTTCAAGGTGGAAAGTGCTCACTCAGGACAGTTCTCAGAATGCGCGTCAGCTATTGTTTGTATCCTATAAATACATATTGTGCTATAAGTGCACATACATGTATAGATATGCCTGATAAATATATGCAGTGGATAAGTGCATGTGTATATGGTTGATAAGTAGATACAGTACTAGGTATGTATATGCATATATACATGTAGTTTATAAGTAAAGATAGTGCTATAAATGGATAGTTGTATAGATTTGTTTTATACATAGGTGCAGTGGTGTACGAGTCCATATGCATAGAAGTGGTTTATAGATCCAGTGCTATAAATTTGTGTGTGTACAGAGATATGGTTTACAAATGGAATGTGAAAAGTGCACTATATTAATAAATGTGGTTTATAAATATATACAGTGCTATTAGTATGTGTATACAGAGATATGATTCATACGGAGATATAGCGCTATAAGTTTATGTAGATAGATGTAGTTTACAAATATAGTGCTTTGTGTATATATATGTGGCTTATAAATTAACCTACCATAAGTGCATATACATGTTGTTTTTAAATAGATACAGTGCCATAAGTGCAAATATATATGTTATAAATAGATATAGTCCCATAAGTACACATGTATACATACATACATACACACACATATATATATAGTTTATCAAAAAATGAAAGCATGCTTAGGGTCACTAGTAACTGAGTGAATTTACGTGAAATATCCTTTTCCTGTCAACAAGTTTTCCTTAAAGTGTTGACTAAAGATTGAGAGAAAAGATTCTTTTTCATGGACTATTAGTTGTAGATTTTTATTAAAGCAGAGTTTCTCAAGATTGGCAATTTTGAGATTTTTAGCTTTTCTACTATTAATGTGTTTGATTGGGGTCTAAACCGTGGGGCCTCCCTCTTGGACAAGAACATCTTCTGTGCTATAATCTCAGGCATCTGGTTGTTTGAATTCTCTTTGTGGGACATTGTTCTGGGCAATGTCATGGGTTTAATAGTGTCTGAGAACACTACTCACTAGATGACAGCCCTTAACTATGACAACCAAAGACATCTCCAGACTTTGCAAAATAAATTCTCCCCACGTTAGAGGTAAAGGCTTCTCTGTGTAATCATTTCACAATACGCAGCAGTATCAACAAGGTAGACTAACAAATCAAATTTTAAATCAAGATAATCCTAGGAAGATGAGTGGGAAAAAGTAGGAGAGAAAATTTACACTGAATTTTGTACATGTCAATATTACTTAATTTTTCCCCATTGAATGATTATTACTTTAAAATTTTACAATATCAAATATGTAATTTTAAACTATTTTTTCGATAGGAATTTGCAAGAAGTTCTCAATTGTGAGGCTGGTGATGTCGAAGAACTTGACATGTATTTTTCCGTGAGTAACAGAAAAACCTAGATTATAGGTTGGCTTTAATATGCTTTTTTGGGGGGGGTTGTTTGTTTGTTTTGTTTTGGCGAGGAGTTGCTGGAGATTGACCCCATGCCAAGGAATGTATGCCACACTGCCATTTTATTATAGAACCTTCAACATGGAATATCCACATTTTAAAAGATAATTTATTTCTGAAAAATTTTTCTCTTACCTGGTTTTCATTTTGTATAGCTTATATCTACAGACTTTTTATATATGAATACAGCAAACATTCATTTGATTCAAACAATGTCCTCAACTAAACAGGGTAATTTGTGCTTGAAGTATACAAATATAACATGTATTAAAAAGGGTTTAAATTTTTTTTATATGGCAGGACATGGTAGCTCCTGCCTTTATTTCCAGCAGCTGAGAGGCAGAGGCAAGGGATCTCTCTTTGTGTTCAAGGCCAGCCTGGTCTATATAGCAAGCTGTAGGTTAGCCAGGATTACATAGAGAGACCCTGTCTCAAAAATCGCAAGAAACTAAATGTGAGTGTGTGTGTGTGTGCGTGTGTGTGCACACGTGTGTGTGTTTAAAAGTCTGGAGTTGAACATGGTGGTGCATCCTAGGAGGTACAGGAGACAATAGCAACCTTGAGGCCAGCTTGGGCTACATATACAGACTCTGTCGCAACAAACAAAAGACTGAACTGAAAAATGGTTATCTATTTCGAGTCATTTTAAATCTTATAGGGAAAATGCACTGACAATAACAGTGGGCTTGGGTTTGTATTTATCAGTCAATTGCATTTTGGTTACAGATATACTGGGATCAAAAAGATGTTGACTTAATTCCAAATGGGATCTCTGTACCTGTGGACCAAACCAACAGGTAAGAGCTAAGACCTAAACTATCCACTTTGAATAGGCATAACATGTTTGTATCAATACCATTTAAAATATATTTGAACTTCTCAGATGTTCATTTTAGTTCCTTGTCTTTTAAAATAATAAACAATAAACAAGTAGGAGAAGAAAAGTGGTCAGGAATAAATATTTCTGTCATCTAAGAGACTTTTAGGCCCTATTCTATGCTAAACTATATTCCAGATACTAGTGATGGAGTTGTGAAAAAAAAAAAGACAAAATGTGTAACTTATATTAGAGTGGGTAGAAAGCAGATAGCCAAATAGACCACCGTGTAATGTATCAAATAAACCAGCTAGTATAAGCTTATGGAATCTGATTGCAAATTTTTCATCAGTGTTCACAGGTTATTATTTAAAGTATTAGTAACTTGATTTCAGTCGTGGGAAGAATAATTAGAAAAATTGGCAAATGTTACAAATGAGGTTTTCCTTTCTGTCCTTTCTGCGCCCCCCCCCCCCGCCTTCTCTCTGTATTTCCCTTCCTCTGTCTTTTTAGATCCTACTCTCTCCCACCTTCCTCTTGGAAAACGGCTGTTAACCATTCAGCAGCATATGACTGGTTATGGGGAGGACATAAGGAGGTGGTTTAAATAAGTTAGTTCACAAAGACAGTTTAAGGGGTAGATGGGCGTGTGTGTGAGTAGCCCCACTTAGCCTTCTTTCCATCACTATAATGGAACATCAAACACTGGGTAACTTTATAAAGAACAGTGTTTTTTTTTTTTTTTGTCCCATAGTTCTGGAAATCTAAGAAGTATATCTGTTGTGGCTTTCTCGCTGGCAGCATTTTGAGTGTGAGCGGGCAGCACCTGACATGACCTAAGGAGCATGAACATGTGTCCCTTTTGGTCTTTCTCACTCACCTTAGAAGCTGACCAGAGTTCAATCACAGGGCTCTGTGTGGCAATTTTGTGTTACTTGAATCTTTCTCCAAGGTCCCACCATAAACACTACAGTCAGATCAAGTTTCTATCTTCATAATACCCAACAATGGGAGAAATAAATGTGAACACATAAATGGGACAGAGTCAAACCACATTCACACTGTGTCACTTGTCACCAGGATATCTATCACACCGTGGAAAGTGCATTCTGCCTAAGACAGACCTTTCAGAACTAATTTCCACAAATTAGCTGTTGCTAGAAGAGAGACTGGGGGAGGAAAAGAAGTGCCTGCCCTGAGAACGTTACTTCTGTATGACTGATGACTGGATAGGAGTTCCCAGGTAAAGAGGAAGCATGCCATGCTAAAGAGAATGTTTACACTGCACGGTTCCCTGCAAACAAGAGGCAGCAAGATGACAGTGGCAGAGAGGAACGTAGAAAGGGGAAAAAGCAAGGGTCAGATGGTTGGACTTATGTCCACCCCTATTTTCTTGTGATGTGAAAGCACGTGACATCCCATAGTTAGCATCCTCCACAGAGTTTGGATTCTTGACGATTCTCTAAGCTAGTTACATGAAGTGCAATGCTTCCTCGTGATGCTGGAGAGCCGCCAGTGAGGGGAAGTGGCTTAGCTATAATGTTTAGTAGGTAAGCTGTATTAAATGTGTTTTCTGTGCTTAATGAGCTCATTGGGATATATCCCTATTGAAAGTCAAGGAGCCCTTATGTTCAGATTGGAATTATAAATCAGAACATACCAAAGTCTGAACCCTTCTCTTATAGTCTCTAAGGACCTTTCTTCTAGTTGGCCAGGTTTTCATCTTCTGGTGTTGTATAGACTTTTATAGCACTACACAGAAGAAATATACTTTTATTTCCCAATAGAGTAAGAAAGCAAAATAGATAATGTTGTAGTCACTGATAAAGTATGCCATTTTTTTTATTTTTCTTCCCTCAAGGCAAATGTACGTTTCTAAGTGTGTTGATTACATTTTTAATACTTCTGTAAAAACCATTTATGAGGAATTTCATAGATGATTTTACACAGTGTGTAACCAGGATATAATTAGACAGTTCCATCCTGAAGAACTAATGAAAGCAATAATTGGAAATGCTGATTGTGACTGGGAACAATTTGAAAATGTAAGTGATAACCTGAGTTTTTTAAGTTTACTGATATATATGCCCCCTAAAATCTTCTCTGACTTTTCCAATTACCAATACATATCCCCCCTAAAACTCTCTTTTTTTTTCTTGTGTTCTCAAGAATTCACTCTATGAAGAAGAATATCACAAAGCACACCCAACTATTCGACTCTTTTGGAAGGCTTTCCACGAATTAACTTCGGATGAAAAGAAAAAATTCCTCTGTAAGTATTGTAATAGGTATGCATTTTTAATGTAACAGATCATTCTTTTTTAATTTTAATTTTTTAAGTTAATTTTACATACCAACTACAGTTCCCCCTCCCTCTCTTCCTCCTTTTCCCCCCATCTCCTCTCTTTACCTCTCCCCCTCCATCTACTCCTCAGAAAATGGAAGGCCTCCATAGGGAGTCAACAAGGCCTGGCACATTAAGTTGAGGCAGGACTGAATCCCTCCCCACTGCATCAAGGCTGAGCAAGCCATCCCACTCCAAAAAACCAGCTCCTGAACCAGGCATTGATCATGGTCCCACTGCCAGGGGCCCCACAAAAAGACCAAGCCACACAATTGTTATTCACAATTAAAGGGTCTATTTCAGTCTTATGTAGGCTCCCCAACTGACTGTCGGGAGTCCATGAGTTCCCAGGGGTTCAGGTCAGCTGTCTGGGTGGCTTTCTCATCATGGTCTTGACCCCTCTTGTTCTGATACTCCCTCCTCACTCTCTTCGACTGAACTCCCAGAGCTCAGCCCAGTGCTTGCCTGTGGATCTCTGCATCTGCTTCCATCAGTTACTGGATAAAGGTTCTATGATTACAGTTGGAGTATTGGTCAATCTGATTACAGGGGAAGGCCAGTTTAGGCACCCTTTCCACTATTGATAGGAGTCTTAACTGGGGTCATCCTTGTGAATTCCTGGGAATTTCCCTAGCACCAGGTTTCTCCCTAACCCTCTATCAACATATTTCTTTCATTGTACTCCCACTCTGTCCCTCCCACAACTCAACCATCCCATTCCCTCATGTTCTCATCCCTCTAGGGATGAGATAACATATATTATTGGCATATATTATTGGCATGAATTTGTAGAGGACAAAACCCAAACATCATGACTTTTTCAGGCTATACCTGCCCCTGTGCAGTACAAAAAGTGTCCTCAATATTTATTAAATATAATCCTTAATTTCTTCTTATTTATCTTGAGTTTTTTTAGATGCAATACCTTAACAAAACTGTCCCTTTCTAGTGTTTCTTACAGGATGCGATAGGTTTCACATAGACGGCCTACACTCTGATAGAATAATATTTCGTTGTCCTCAAACTTTCAGTGAAGAGGATAACCCAAGATCTTTGACATGTCACAATATTCTAGACTTGCCTAAATATTCTACAATGGAAAGGATGAAGGAAGCACTTCAAGTGATAATCAACAATAACAAGGGTTTTGCCTCATGGACCTGATGCTGAAATAATCCACTCTGAGCATTCTCATCACCAGCCTTAGGAATTAGGTCTTTGATTTCTGGGCTCTCCTGTCTTTCCTTAATCTAATTGGTACAAAAGATTAAAGGATTTTACTTATAATTAGTTGGACAGTTTTTTGAGATAAAGAAGTTATAAATTAATACTTTTAGTGAAATAAAATTCTGTAAAACTTTTGGTGTATTCCTAACCTTGCTATTAGAATGCTTGTTTAGAATGAAATATTTTCTGAACAACAATTATTATTTAATAATATGCTAAATATTTAGAATATTCAATATTGGGGCTAGAGATTGAACTCAGTGATTAAGGCGCTGGCAGCTCTTACAGAGGACCAGGGTTCAAATCCCAGCACCTACATGACTGGTCACATCCCACCAGTAACTCCAGTCCTAGCAGATCTAATACCCTCTTCTGGCCTCCAGGGCACTGTCTAGATGTGGCACAAAGACTTACGTACAGACAAAAAATTCATACGTGTAAATTAAAAATAAAAAATAATATTTATTTAAAATGTTGTTGTACCAATAGTAAACTATTGATTTGAAAGAATATGTAACTCTGAATATTTAGCAAAAGTATACACTGCTTTCAGCATGGTTTTGAGATATATAGATGTATATTTTGTATTAAGGAATATATTTTGAGTTTTTGAACTTAGTAATTGCTAAATAATTTATTTTCAAATCTAAGTGTTGAGGTTTATGCTTCTTTGAACATATTTATACTTATACTCATTACAGCATTCCTGAAGTCATTTTAAATGTGGGTACTGTTATTCTGGTAAAATACTAAGCTCAATCAGAAACTCATATCTGTATGTCATTAGAAAAATGTGAAGAAGCTGAAATATGTCTTTTGATGATGTTATAAAATAAATAAAGCAATGTAACTACTATGGGAAGTGGCCAGCACATCTTGCATACTGGTTTTACTCAATGTTAAAATGGAAAGTGCATTACACAGCTTTGAAATAATTTCACAGACTCCTGTGGTTTGTCCTGAGAGTGGTGTACATGCTATTGTGACAGGTCCTTCCCATGAAAGCTCCTTTCCTGTAAGGATGCTGGATATCAGACTTAACAGACTTCACATGTGAGTTGTTCGCTGTGCTCCAAAGCAACCAAGTGAATTAATAAATATAGAAGATTATAAAATGATTGTTATTGACAGCAACAACAGAAACAAACAAATCACTAGGAGAAGGAGCACTCCAGGTGCTTCCCTTATTGCAGCATTGCTCCAGCATTGGACAAAGATGCATTTTTCTGATGTCTCTGGGCACCAACCATACATGTGGGACACATACATGCAGACAAAACACTCATACACATAAAATAATAAATCTTTAAAAAATTAAATTTCCTCTCATTCCCCGCCTCTTTATCCTTAGTTGTCTATTCTATTTCCATGTATTCTATTTCCATGGCAGAGGGAATATGCTAGGTGCCTTTGCAAGGCTGGTTCATTTCATTTAGCATCATCATGAGATTTGGTCATCAGATGTCATTTCTCTGCTGTTTTCTGTATTCATTTACACAGTATACTGAGTCTTTAAAACAAATCTGTGAAGGTCTTGAATGATGCTTGTTAAACGAGGCTGCTTGTTTGTCCCGGCTGCCCAGAACCAAAATAATCACACAGAAACTATATTATTTAAATTACTGCTTTACCCATTAGCTCTAGCTTCTTATTGGCTAACTCTTACATCTTAATTTAACCCATTTTTCGTAGTCTGTGTATTGCCACATGGCTGTGGCTTATTGGCCAAAGTTCCAATATCTGTCTCCAGCGGGTACATGGCTTCTGACTCTGCCTCCTTTCTCCCAGTATTCAGTTTAGTTTTCCCCATCTACCTAAGTTCTGCTCTATGAACAGGCCAAGGCAGTTTCTTTATTCACCATTGGTATTCACAGCATACATAGGGAAATTCCACATCAGATGCTTTCTGCAAGAAGGACACCAGGTCACAGTAGGAAAGAGGGTTATTTGGTACCATCTACTGAAGAAAGTTGCAGCCTTTAAGGCTAAGTTCATTCCAGTGCATCCCACATCTCACCTGCGGCTTTCCTGGGTCTCTGACTCAATGATTTTTCTCAGCTTCTTTCTCTGAGTCCTTACCTTTGAGAAGCAGTTGTTTTCATTTTCTTATTTTTATGAATCACATGTATGTTGGAAGACACTCAGACTTATTATGGAACCCTCCTTGAGGGTCTGGCCTATTTCTCTAAGACATCTGGTTGGACTTCTTGAAGTGTTGTATTCTCTCTATGCTATAGCACATTTATACATTTATTTCTTCCTTGTCTGTCTTAAACCTTATATCCTTTCTATCTCTCTTTTTCTACACAAGAATTAAACACAGAAGCGTTCTTTCACCTTCCACAGTTTCACTTAATGTATAGCCTGCCCATAATCCAATAAATATTAAACAGAAGTAAACATCTCATACATTTTAACATTCTAAGTAATATGATGAAATCATGTGCCATATTAACCTGTTTCACCAAGATATAAGCCATCTTCTAGTTTTTCACATTGGCAGGGAGGTACCATAGTGCTTGTGTTGAAGTAACTGCCACAATATGAGTAGTGATATGGGAACTTTTAATATACCTAAGTCATAAAGCACTTCCTTGAAGTAAAAATTTAAATGTTTATAAAAATGTGTGTATGCATAGGAAAACACAAAACAACCTTTATGCAGTTCCAGACCACTGACATTCTGGTGCCTCCATGCCTATAAAAATAATGCCCTATAGATGAAGGGTGCTACAATATCCCAAACCAGACTTCAAGCTGCTTGAACGCATGGAGGCAATGGCAGTGTCAGAGTCTTATCTTAATATAGTTCCAGCGTAATATTTATTGTAGATTCTATATGTGAACCCACAAGAAAGTATTTTCAGTAAATAGATGTTCACACTTTAAAAGGAAATGGGAGGGCTGGAGTGATGGCTCAGCAGTTAAGAGCACTGAGTGTTCTTCCAGAGGTCCTGAGTTCAATTCCCAGCAACCGCATGGTGGCTCACAACCATCTGTAATGAGATTTGGTGCCCCCTTCTGGTGTGCAGGTGTACATAGAAGGAATGTTGTATACATAATAAATAAATAAATCTTTTAAAAAAGGGAGCAACATTTTTTTAAAAAAAGAAAATGGGAACACATCATCCAGTTTTCTTTTTTAAATAAAGTAAAGCTAAATCATCTTTATTGTTTATTTTAATCTTTAATTAATTTATTTATTAAAAATTTGCACCTCCTCCCATCCTCCCATTTTCCTCCTATTTCCTCCCCTCCCCCTCCCTCTCCAGTCCTAAGAGAAATCTGGGTTCCCTGCCCTGTGGGAAGTCCAAGGTCCTCCCCTCTCCATCCAGGTCTAGGAAGGTGTGCATCCAAACAGACTAGGCTCCCAAAAAGCCAGTACATGCAGTAGAATCAAAATCTGGTGTCATTGTCATTAGCTTCTCAGTCCGCCCTCATTGTCAGCAACATTCAAAGAGTCCGGTTTGATCACATGCTCGTTCAGTCCTAGTCCAAATGGCCTTGGTGAGCTCCCATTAGATCAGGTCCACCATCCCCATGGGTGGACCCATCCCTCGTGGTCCTAACTTCCTTGCTCATGTTCTCCCTCCTTCTGCATTTCATATGGGCCTTGGGAGCTCAGTCCAGTTCTCCAACATGTTTCTCTGTCTCTATCTCCATCCATCACCAGATGAAGGCTCTATGGTGATATGCAAGATATTCATCAGTGTGACTATGGGAGAAGGCCAGTTCAGGCACCCTCTCCTCTGCTGCCCAAGGACCTAGATGGGGAAATCTCCTTGGATACCCGGGAACCCCTCTAGAGCCAAGTCTATTGCCAACTCTAAAATGGCTCCCTTAGTTAAGATATCTTCTTCGCTGCTCCCATATCCACCCTTCCTGCATCTCAACCATCCCATTCCCCCAAGCTTTCCCCAATGCTCCCCTTCTCCTCTCTCCCCATCTCCCCTTCCTCCCAACCCACCCTACCCCCATGCTCCCAACTTTTGCCCAGCAATCTTGTCTACTTCCAATATCCAGGAGGATAAATATATGTTTTTCTTTGGGTTCACCTTCTTATTTAGCTTCTCTAGGATCATGAATTATAGGCCCAATGTCCTTTGTTTATGGCTAGAATCCACTAATAAGTGAGTACATACCATATTCATCTTTTTGGGTCCTTATCTCACTCAGGATAGTGTTTTCTATTTCCATCCATTTGCATGCAAAATTCAAGATGTCATTGTTTTTTTACCTCTGAGTAGAACTCTAAAGTGTATATGTGCCACACCTTCTTTATCCATTCTTCTATTGAGGGGCACCTAGGTTGTTTCCAGGTTCTGCCTATTACAAATAATGCTGCTATGAACATAGTTGAACAAATGCTTTGGTAGTATGATTGGGCATCTCTTGGGTATATTCCCAAGAGTGAAATTGCGGGATCCTGAGGTAGGATGACTCCCAGTTTCCTGAGAAACCGCCACACTGATTGCCAAAGTGGTTGTACAAGTTTGTATTCCCACCAGCAATGGATGAGTGTTCCCCTTACTCCACATCCTCACCAGCATAGGCTATCATTGGTGTTTTTGATTTTAGCCATTCTGACAGGTGTAAGATGGTATCTCAAAGTTGTTTTGATTTGCATTTCCCTGATCGCTAAGGAGGTTGAGCATGACCTTAAGTGTCTTTTGGTCATATAAAATATGTAAAGAACTAAAAATTCTGAACATCAAGGAAACAATCAAATTAGAAAATGGTACAGAACTAAGCCGAGTATAAAAAAATGAAACACAGATGGCTGAAAAACACTTAAAGAAACATTCAAAATTTTTATCCATCAGGAAATGAAAGTTAAAAACTACTTTGAGATTTTATCTCTCTCTGTCAGAATGACCAAATCAGTAAGACAAATGTTAGCACATACTTGTGAGAATTTTGGATAAGGGGAATACGTATTAATTGTTGGCGATAGTGTGGACTTGTATGGCCACAATGGAAGTCAGTGTGGTGGTTCCTCAGGAAACAGAAAATAGATCTGGCTAAAGATCCAGTTATGTCACTCTTAGGCATATACCCAAAGGACTCTGTATCCTACTACAGAGACACTTGCTCAACCATGTTCATTGCTGCTCTATTCATAAGAGCCAGAAATTGAAAACAGCCTAGATAGTCATCAACTGTTGAATAATTAATGCAAATGTGGTATGTTTACACAATGGATTTTTTAAAATTTAAATCATGTAAAAAAGAAAAGAAACAACAAAATCCTGAAATCTTTAGGTAAATGTATGGAGCTAGAAAAAAATTATACTTAGTGAGATAACTCAGATCCTAATAGACAAATGTTGTATGTTTTCTCTTATACATGGATGTTAGCTTTTAAGCTTTCAATATGTGTGCTACAATTTTAATATCCGCAGAGGTTAGGTACCATGTTAGGGATTGGGGGAAGGAGAGGATCTTCTAAGGGAGAGTAAGTAGAATATACTGTTATGGAGAGAGACAAAAGGGAAATTGGAATAGCAGAATTAAATTGGGAGGGAGATGGGAAAGATGCGTAAAAGAGGGAATATGGAGAGGGACAACTAACACTAACGGCCAATTTATAGACCATATGGAAACCTATTACTAGAGAAGCATTGTAAAATATATACATATTAGAAATATAAACGGAGTCACCAAATAATAGGAAGACAATGCCACAATTAAACATCTTATGGTACCAAGTAAAGTCTCCAGTGCCAGGAATAGGTTATATCTTGCTGAGTCATTGGTTAAAACAAATGTATTAGGAACCACTCCACATGGTAGTTTGAGTGAGAACAGCCCCCATAGACTCACATATTTGAATACCGAGGTCCTGTTTAGTAGAACTTCCCATTCTTTGGGAAGGATTAGGAAGTATGGCCTTGTTAGAGACAGCATGGCTTTATTGGATTGTGTCCCTGGAAGTA